AGGCCCCAGGGAGAGGAAGGTCAGAAAGGCGTATGGAGGGCCGTTAGAGGGAGGGGATAGTGGAGAGTGGGGGAAAGAGGGAAGGCAGGTCATAGAGGAGCTGGTGGTTGGAATGGGAGGCGGGGGAGGGTGTCTAGTGAGGGGGGCAGGGGTATTCCTGTGTGGCGGGAGGGGAGATCACAGAGGATTGGGTGGCAGTGGAGTGTGTAGGGAGGATGTATGATGGGGTGAATGGCGAGGAGGTAGTGGGGTGTTTGGGAGTGGATGTGTGATGGGGTGAAGGAAGGTGGGGAGGTAAGACAAGGCATGGGTAAGTGAATGAATTGTTGAGGGCCGGTTAGGGAAGTTAATTTTGGGTATGATGAGGAGATGGTGGGAAAGTAACTGGGGGAACAGTGGCGTGCAAGCCACGTGGTGGGAGAGGCTTAGGGGTTTTTAGATGGAACAGGGAATTGGGAAGGTTTAGAGAAAGGGGTGGACTACTGGGGTCCTGGGGTGGGGCTGGCGGTAAGATGTGGGGTGACTGGAGGATAACTGTTGGGTGAGGGGCATTATGGGAGAAGAGGCTGGGTTTGCGATCACCTGAAAGAGTAACTGACAGCAGGGAGAATGGAAACTACAGCTGTCAGTATGGAGACCATAGTGAGAAGCAGGTAAGTGGATGGGGCTTAAGAGTAAGATTTGAGGGGGGAATAAAATTGGAAGGATCTGGGCAAAAGTGGGAAGTCTAGGGGTGTAAGTAACTGAGGGGGTCAGGTGGCTGCGGGCTCTGAAGCAAAGGGCCTTGAGGTGTTAATAGCAGCTTGGAGAGAGAGGGGGAAGGACTTTGTGGGTAAACATGTGGATGGTGTGTGTCTGTGTTGTGGGGAGGAGTGGGAGGGAATAGGGAAGGTGTTGGAGCATGACTGAAGGACTTAGGACCCTGCATGGCTCAGTAAGGACCTATGGGATGGGCACACAGAACTCTCCCCTTCCTTAGCATTGAGGTTTTCCTCTCATAGGGATCCCATGCAGTTTTTGTTACTGAGTCACTGGGGATTGGAGGTCCTCCTAATGGTGGAGAGTCACTGAGCTAAATGGGCATCCTTAAGGGCCCTGATTCAGGTGGGCAGTCAAAACATGGAGAGAATGCAGCATAGCTGTGGGAACCCCAGTTTAGCCTGTGGTGCACTGTGCCTTCCTCCCCCTTGTCTCTAAGTTCTACATAAACCCGTTTGTCCCCACACACACACTCCAATTTTTTCCTCCTTTTTCTCTGGACCTCTTAGCAGTTTTGCTTCTTCATTGTAGTTTTTGCATCGGACTCTCCTTTTCCATATCCACTTTCCCATGTTGCCTCTCTTCTAGAACTACAAGCACAATTATTTCACAGATCCCTTCATTTTCCCACAGGAACTCCTCCTCAGTGCTCCTTCTCACATTGTCTCTCAAGCCCAGCCCTGCCTCCTAAATCCAGCTATTGCAGGGCTCAGAGCTCCCTTCCTTAACAAAAATCTGGGAGGGTTCAAATCGTGCCACTGGCCAGTCGGGTTACAGTGATCCTAACCTT